GTGCCGGTGGACCCTATAACATTACTGCTACTTCAAAAGTGGACAATGTCATGAAGACAATAACTTTAGAGGATGTTTTGTTTGGTGATGTTTGGGTGTGTAGTGGACAGAGCAACATGCAGTTTACAGTGTCTCAGGTAAATGCTTATGTACTAAAGCACTAAACCAGTACCTGCTCTTGATCATCTGGTTAGATGACCCAGACAGTCACCAAATTAATTTATACCGTCTCTTCTACACTTGCTGTCCAGCATCTATTGGACAAAGAAAAAAAAAACCTTACTGGCCTTTTTTACTCTTTGTTTAATCTCCAACTCAGTTAAGAGAACTCAAGATTTTGTGTGTGTTTTAGCAACTTCAGTTCTTATGGAGTGACTGAGACAGGACAATCAAAAACTAATTTTAGGTCAATTAATGTGGGGATATAAACCAAATTTCTCCAGATTTAAATTTTCAGTAGCTTTTAAACCTTTTAATTTTTCATAAATCCAGGTTTATGGAGTAGAAAGCAATTAGGACTCAATTCTTGTGTGTAACTGTTATTTGTAGTAATGGGAGTAGTATAACATGATAATTGGATTTTATTATGGGAACATGTTCCCAACAAAAGCATAGCTCCATTTTCTGCATATAAACACACTCATTATTATTGCATTTTGTCATAAATTACCAAAGTATCTTATTTGTAGTGAACAAGAACAACAAGGTTATTATTGCATTTTGTCATCGTATCATAGATGGTAATCAGGAGTTAGATCATGATCTGGCTTTTGTCAATTTCTCTCTATGTTAGACACCCATCTTCCAAGTTCTGTTTTTCAATTCCAACTCTGTAAGATTCATGCAAAGAGAATCTCTCTTTGTCCTGTAAAACAGGTTTTACTGGTTGGGGGAGAAGGGATGGAATTGGGGTCAATATGCTCAGACTTTTTCTTGGGGGTGGGTTGGTGGTGCATCTTATACATGTGCAGAGTTGACGGTGTAGGCTTGCTCTAAAGACAGGCATATCTGTATGCCTGTCTTTGTGTCCTATTGTTTATAGATCACATGCACTGTCCTGTGGTGATCTTCAAGACAAGAAAGAAAAGAATCATCTTAGTGGACAACATCAAGTACAAGACATTGTAACTCTGAAGTTTTCTTGCACTCAATCCATTCGGCTCTCAGTCAAGGGGGACCCAGTCAATCTTAACTTGTCAATGATAGGAAAATTACAAAAAGTTGGCCATGGAAGGCTCGTGCACAGTTTTTTTATGACCAGTTTGCAGATTTTCCTCCTTAGTAAAATATCAGTTCATGCTCAGTTTAAATATCATGTAAAATTTTATGCTAGGTGTACTTGTCTCTGAATAATTTTAGGCAATCAATGCTTCAGAGGCATCCAAAGAGGCAGACAATTATCCAGAAATCAGATTATTTACTGCAAGTCTTATTGAATCTGAAACGCCTTTATATGAGCTTAAGGAAGTTGAACAGCCATGGAGTGTTGCTTCATCTGGTAAGGTAATTTCCATTTTGACAGTGATGCATTAGTTGGTATCAAATCAATAAAAAAATGGCAATCATCTCAAAAATGGTTCTAGTAACAGTAATGGCAATAAAGTAACAGTATTAACAATAACAATATGCTAAGATTGGGAATCAAACATGAAATGATATAAAACAAAACCAGATGCCAGTTTCAGAATTTGATGTTCAAAACTTAAACTAATATAACCATTAAACCACTTTTCTGAAAGCGAGTACACCTCATTATTTATTTAGTAAATTGTCATACTATTTTTTTTTCTCCAAGAAACTGTCAATGGAGGTACTTGGAAATATTTCTCAGCTGTCTGTTGGTTTTATGGCAAGAACCTTTATGACCAGTTTAAGAGACCATTAGGTTTAGTTGCCACTGACTGGGGAGGCACGCCAGTGGAAGCTTGGTCCTCACCAGATGCCTTGCGAAAATGCAATGTAACTGGCAACAAAGTAGACAACTTGTAAGTCCCTTGGGAGATAGGTTTTTCAGTGTGCTGCAGACTTTTGGTTGTGGTAAAGAATCACTCATAGAATTAACTGTGCATGCTGGACCAAGATGATGATACTTTTAGTAACAGTTTTATATAGTACAAAAAGTTTACTATCTATTACTTTTCTTGTATGAGGATTTGTGCCTGGATTCTTGAACATATTGGTGCTGGCAACCTTGACATACTAACTTCTAACTTATTTATTTTCAAACTTTTGTACTGCAAGATCAGTTTATAACCTGATCAGGTTTTGCACATGCTAATGGTTGGCAAGCTATATTTTTTGATGAGGTGGTTAGGTATATGATGTGCTCACTGTTGTGATTAGCCCTACTGAAAGGTGTAAATGCCAGGGACCTGGGACCTGGGAGTGTAAAGGGAAAGGAATTATTTGTTACTAGAAGCAAACACTCAATACTAACGTAGCATTTTTAAAATCACCTTTTAAAAATCATGTTGCCTTTTTTTTAAGATACTTGTTGCCTGAAGATGAGTCATTCAAGGGGCCCCAGTCACACTCTGTGTTGTACAATGCAATGATCCATCCATTTCTGAACATGACCATATATGGAGCAATTTGGTATCAAGGTGAAGCAAATGCTGGAGCTCCATATAATTACAACTGTACATTTCCTGCAATGATTGATGACTGGCGATCCAAATGGTTCTATGGAACTGACGACCTCACAGACCCTGAATTTCCTTTTGGATTTGTTCAAGTAAGTAATGAAAACAATTTTTGGATCAATGAAAGTCTCTTAACAACTGTGCACTTACCCCTTCCCTGACCCAACATTAACCCTACTTTGTTATCAGTTGACTGTTGTTAGTTAAAGGGAGGAGTAGGTGCTGACATTGATCCCAATTTTTTTGCTTGGTTTTTAAAATTGAGGGATCATTTGCAGAGAGTTTGAAAAAAATGTTTTTCGTTTTAAACCCCAAGTTGTCAGCCAATGGAAATGACTCAACCATTGCAGATGGATTTCCTGTCATTCGATGGGCTCAAACTGCCAATTATGGCTATGTGCCGAATCTCAGGGAAACTAACGTATTCATGGCTGTGGCGATGGATTTGGGAAACGCCTCGTCACCATATGGCAGTGTCCACCCAAATGATAAACAAGACGTTGGGTATCGTTTAGCACTTGCCGGACGAGCAGTTGCCTACGGGGATCTGGATGTGTACTATTCTGGGCCAATTGTATCTGATGTTATAATTACCGCTCCAGCAAAGTCTAACACAACATGGATTGCGACGGTGAAATATCATCACGAAAGTGTGGGTTTAGGAGGAATTGAACTGCGGTCAGACCACGGATTCGAGGTAACTTGTCAAATCTATTTCCCGAAGTTGTTCAGTAATTTATCATGTTTACCAAGTTGGCCACACCCTTAACCATGTGTTGCTTCACTTGATTGGTAAGTACATTCTGGTAACGTGCTTTCATGTCAAACTCATAACTACATTATTTGTCTATAGTTCTACTGCGCGTTGCCTGGCCAATCCGAAATCACTCAGGCCAAGATTGTCTCAAGCGACTTCAGCTCAGTGCACGTAACTGGGGACTGCCCCCATGAGATGTCCGTGCAAGGAATACGATATGCTTGGTACACAAAGCCTTGTGATTTTAAAAAGTGTGCTGTCTACAGCAAGGAAAATGACCTACCGGGACCTCCTTTCACGTGGAATGCGCCTGTTAATTAAAGGAACACTTTTCGAGAAAGTGCCGCCCCCATGAAGAGGACAGTCATCGAAACCAAGGAAATGCAGTTGATGCATTTTTGATGCTGATAGAATTGAAACAATTTTCTTTGATATCATTTTAAAGCTTAGCCAATTGGATTTTAAGTTAAACAAATAACGTTTCAATAATCAGGATGATGATAATACAAGTTCATATTGGGATACGCAATCAGTCGTATAGATTTGACCAAATATTAGTTTTCGATATCATTTGAAGTGATGTAAAACAGTCTCTTGTAATCTTAATATTTCATTTATAAAAGGTAAGTAATTGAGTCAGAAGTCGGATGATCTGTATAATAAGCTGAATAACACACGCATTTGGACTTTTACTTATGATCTATTAGAGAACGGACGCACGGATGACGTCACCATTCACAATTTTTACTCCATTGTTATGTAAACAAATTGATTCCTTGTTGCCGTGGGTCTGTACACTAACGGATCACAGAAGAGGTGGTAAGAATATCAGAGACACACTCAGCTGCACCTTGTATGCCACGGTTTTATTTTTACCTTACGTCATTTTGACGTCATCTGTGATCTATTAGTTAACAGACACGCGGCCACGTGGAACCTATTGGCTAAATAGGTCAGTAGTCCTGAAAAAGACTACTTTGCAGCTTAACTTTTAAGTGTTAATTAGAAATGTAATTGCTGACATGAACAGAACAAAATTCGCCGGTCTTTCAATGAAATAAACAGAGTAGAATTGCTGAGGAATCCACTCTCATTTTATGATGCGTTATCTTTCTTCGAGTGAACTGTGACCGTGTAACTAGAGAGACGTAGTTTGTATAATAATCACTTATCAATTGGCTTCCCTCATTGCTCCGTCTAATTCAACTGTCCTTTATTCAATCATCAAGCTAGTATCTTCACCAAAAAGTCCGTGTGATTTTTTTTTTCACTTTCAATACAATAACTTAAGATAAAATTTACAATACGATTGAATAATAAGAAATGTCTTTACAGCATTAATGTTATGCAACACATTTCACTACAGACATGTTCACCATGGATGAAGGCTGAAATGTCATCAGTGTCCGCCATTCCTCTTCCCTACTCTCACTCACACGGATCCATGCTGTTCATATTTATTCGGAAGCCCCAGTGCTAGGAAGATTTAGTCAAAGTCGTCAAGTTTTACGCACGCCGTTCTTGTCATGAAGATGACTTTTGAACCCACTAGTTATTTCGTTTACGATTCTCCCATAATAGTTGACATGTAGGAGATTTATTTATGTGGACTTGCTAAGGACATTGCTTAAACTCCCAACAGACGTGGATGCTGCCCATATTTGAGATCGCGATTTGTGAAACGAATATTGAGACACTTGCGAACGTACACTTTCAAGAGTATTCCGCTGTGGTTGTAAGACAACGATATACATCTTGGGACCGTACATGCAGATCAGTAACCCAAATGAGGTTACTAACGTCGTTGAACATGCCACTAGAGTCACATACCAGCTCTCAAAATTGAACACCACAGGGTAATATGCTATTGATGAAAGCAGGAGAATGTACATGGAGAATCCAATGTACTTTGTTTCGTTGAAGTTCTCGGGGATGTCCCTGGCTTTGAACGCATAATAGGTGCAGAGGAGAGCCACGGTTGATGTGTAAGAGCAGACAGCGAGGAAAAGCGAAAAGCCGGTGTTAAAGCCAAAAGGTTTGCACACAAGAAAAATGTATTCGTCTGGACGGATGAGTTTCTCGCGTCTTGGAGGATCAAACATCATCCACAGTGCTATTAAGGATAAAGCGACTGAATTCATAAATATGATTGTCATGGTCTGCCTTTGTATCGTCTTAAAACACGGTGTAAATAGTTCTGCTACTTTGTCTACCTGAAAAACACTTGTAATTCGCATCGTTTTCAAGAACAGTACTGTTACGCAAAGATTCAGTGCAAAATAACGCCCAACGTACACGATGTAGCACAATGCTTGACTCGGCTCTACCAACTCAAGGACAGCGAGGGCAAAAAGTGTCATAATACCAAAGAGCAACAGGAAGCTCATTTCTCTGCTAGATGCCTTCACAACTGGAGTATTATAGAATTTAACGTAGACCGATAGTGTAAGAATTAAGAAGAGTACACCGATAGACGTAATCGCAATAATACTGACTCCAGTGGGACTCATCAGTGAGATGTTGATGACCGTTAAATCCTCGCATTCTGTGCGCTTATCATTTGGTTTGGTCTCCGGCTGACATTCCGTACAAGAACTTGATCCGTTACCGGCACTGATGGTTCCCTGTGGACACGTTATGCATTCCCAGCAGCATGGTGTAGTGGGTGACTTCATGGTGCCAGGGGAACATTCGCGTGCACAGAATGAGGCTGGAACGGAAAGATTATTGAGAAGGGAACCCCAGTGCAAAGAGGACTCGTTCAAACGGAGCTTTGGTGTAGTTTCTTTGTCCCAGCATCCCACCAAAACCTTTCTGTGAGGTGTTCCAATGGTTGAGACACGCTGGAAGCTGATGATGTCATACGAGGCGGATAAAGGATCCCCGGAACTGTCAAATCGAATTCTGCCAGTCACTCCGGGGAAACTGACATTCCTGAGGGACTTCTGTACATCACTTCCTTTTACAAACGGTTTTACTGAAGGACAGTCAGCGTCATTTGTTGTTGAACAGTTGTAGATACTGTCCACGGCATATGCAAGGGCATATACCGCATCAATGACGTACGAAACAAATGAGCTTCGGATCTTGGTGACAATGCTATTCAAAGTGAGATTTGCCTCACAAGCTGGTATATCAGAATCACTGGATTTGTTTCCTGAACAATTGAAATGTGAACTCCAAAATTCTTCCCACCACATCATTCCTCTTTCGAAGCTCTTTTCAGGGGTAATCCTTTTGAGATGTTCTTCAAAAGCAGGGTCTTGGTAATCTCGTGGTTGTATCCCCAAAGAACCATCTAACACAGTAAAACGAGGATCCAGAAACACCGCTTCTTCAGCAGTAAGTGCATCGCTTAGTATAAATGTTCTTCCTTGAAGGTTTTGATCAGTTGCCGCATTGAGGAATGCTCTGCCTTTGCCACCAGAAAGCCAAACTATGATCACTCCAATACTGGACTTTGCTTTAATTCTTGAAACTGTTTGCTTTATTTTTTCCTGGAACTTCAGGCGAGGGATGAACTCCGAAAAAGCAACGCAGAAGCTTTTTCTATCATAAGACTCTTGCTCCAGAGCCCAAATACCATTGCGGCCGTAGGAGTCATCAACGCCTACGGCAGCCACGTATGTCCAGTTGAAATGCTCAATGATGTCAGCCATGACTTGTGCCTGCCAGTTATCTGGTGGAACTGTCCTGAAGAAGTCATTGTACAATGGTGAGCTTAACTCCACGCTTGTTGCAGTTGGACTTATCGCAGGAATAGGAGCAACCTGGAGCAGACTCCCCACTAGGACTGCACTGCCTGAATTGTACGGTCCAACTAGAGCTGAAATGGGTTTTGATGTAACCACAGTGACGTTGCCCGTGGATGAAAGGTTTGTGGAGGGCATACAGTTTTGGTCGCTGCTGCGCACCAGATCATATGTTATTTTCATAGCTAGAGCAGTCCTCTCGCAGTAATCTCGAATATCGTAACCAAGTGTGACGTTTGAAAGAAGACGAGGATTTTCGTTCACGCTTTCAATGGCAAATATCATAGCTTCAGCGTGTCCTAGTCCCATTGTAAAAAGATCACCGCAATGATCCTCAGTTCCGGCAAAGTGAAGATTAAATAGACCTCCCAAGATGACATGGCCGTCCTTGTAAGCTCTTCTGTCAGGATTGCACGACGCCAAGGGGAGAAATAGCACAGAGACGTGAAACACTGTAAGTATACCCAAGAGACTAACACCAACTTTCCTATTCCAACTCGTGCAATTCATTGCTTCTAAACCTTGTACAAGTCTTCCAGATTCTGTAAATTTTCCTGCAATTAAAAGAAAATTTACGATTACGTTGTTTGAAATTGTTTTAGTTATCTTAGAGAGCTTTTCTGCAAATCTTTTTCGGGAATTGAATAGCATGCAATATTAATCACTACGAAACAACACGAGCTTTCTGACGGTAAATAGCTGAACAGCATGCGTTTGATTTTCATTTTTATCCTTCTCGGCCAGAGGCTCTGAATGTTCCATAATACCACAAAGACACACTTTGTAAACAAGTCTGTAGAAAGACTAACCTATCGCAGTGGAAATCAGTTAATTTTGAGTCTCAAATAAGTGAATATTTGCTGGCCGAGAAATTCATGGAATATCTGAATACTTCTGTTCATTATTAATTCTAACCAACAATTATCATGTTTGGTAATTAGAAAGAGGTGAATAAAAAGCAATTACATTGTATGCATTGCAACTATAGTAATATAATAACAAAAATTAAACAATTTCTTAGATCTGTCTATTCAGTGCGATCTTTTTAAAGGTGTGTGCATTTGGCAACAAATGAAATTTTGAGATGATAAATATTATCAACTTCTTTCCTTTTAAATGCTAACAAAATTAAAATTACCCTCAGTTATCTTCCTCGTCGATGATGTCACATGGAAATAGATGAAACTTTCTTACAAGTTTCCGTGAGGCTATTTACTGTATGCTGATTTCGAACATTCTAGCCTAAATTTACATGCAACACAGAATGGTGTCAACTTTGATTGAAAAACCACGCCAGCTCAGTACCAGTGCCCCCTACAGAGCTGATGAGCTCAAATCATTTGGTGTGTAGTTAGAATCCTTTGCAAACACATTTTTAATCCATGCACATATCAGCCGCTTTTCAGCTTGGCTGAGATGACTTCTGATTAAAATTAAAAAAGTCCTCTTCAAGGCACATGGCGAATGATAACCTGTGTAGCTTTAATTGGAGGTGTGCGTCGTTCAGATGACAGTTTACTGAAGACGTTCTCGCGCTATCCTGTACAAACTTGATGAAGGCAAAATCATTTAGGCCAAAAATTTTTACGTTTCCACGATTAATATAATTTTTTCTCCCACGACTTAATCCATGTCTGATACATTCATTTGTACCTTAACGTCAGCTCCATTCTTTTTCAATTCCAGCATATAAAACTGGCAACACAAACCACTAAAACTATGACCTACAGCCAGGAGACATCAAGGTGCGTTAGAAATTTTGATAAGTGTTTTTCATTACAACCAAATCCTTTGATTTCATTAAAATTTATCAAAGTGATGGACATCTTCCGGCGAACACGATTTGTTTCTCGTTGCAATTACACACTTTCCTTAAATCGATTGGTTTGTTTTGAAAATTCAGTCCGCAAATATAATCGTCAGCGTATTTCTTTTCATGCAGATTTCCTCTTGTTATTGAATCTTTTTCAAGCAAAGAACGGTTTACATTACGAACGGTTTCTAATAAAACTGAGATCTATCAGTTTCGCCGGAAAGAAAGACCCCATCCAGACCCGAATTTTTTTTTTTTGCCGGAGAGTGATGTAGGTGTTGTGATGAAGATAAATAAGAAAGTGTTGATCTGTTTAACAACACAAGTATCGGTAAAAATAATATAAAAAACCGAAAGACAAAACAAAACATACTTAACTCTAAGCCGATTGTTTTCTATATCTATAGAAGCCTTCCTTCATTTAAACGATCTAGATTACAAAATCCTTTCCCAACCTGAGTCAAACTCTCGATCAAAAGTGACCTACTATTCAACTCTCCTCTGCGTCTTGCCTCAAATCAAATCAAAGCCGTGAAATATTTCTTTCACTCCTGTTACCAGTGTGATACCATTCCCAGTTGGACTTTTGGGTAAATTAAATTTTTTACGCTCAGTTTGGTCTTTAAAAGCAACCGAAATGGTCACTGATGCCTGTGGCGAAGTTAGCAAGGGCCAGTAAAAGTCGAAAAAACAATTTCCCTTTCTCGGTGCGCAAGGGACGGTTATTAGACTTCTTTATCTCCTTTGCAATTCTTCAAATTGAATTCGAGGATAATCTCTCCTGGGTAAAACGTCTACAATGTTGCCTTAAATTGAACCTGCCATTTATCACAGCGACCAAACCTTCTTATTGTGGAAGCTAGCTGTGAAGTTGCGTGATGCACTTTCCGTTACTACAAATTTTCAATTTTATGGAACTCGCTCCACCGTGTGAGTGTTTCAAGCTTCTGAGGTTTGGATTGGACGCTGGTTTCTTTTAAGCAATAAGTTAAATTGGATCTCGGCGATCACAGTTGGAGAGAAAGTCAGGAGCAAAACAAGCTAAGTATCGAATCCTACCTCACCTTTCTTTGGTAACGAAGGCAAATGGCGATCGCACTTTCAACCAAGTCAAGTCTGTTTCGGCTTTTATTTCAGTTTAGCCGTCGTTGATCTCAGCTGTAAGCGGAGTTGTGGTTTAATCCTCGATGTGACTAAAGCGATTAGTAATAGTTTTTGTCTTTCATAGTGAAAACATTCGTAGGTAATTGCGTCTTTCACCGAGCCTCATTAGGAATTGCAAATATCTGTGCGGATCGGACAAGGTAGAAGATGAAAGCGGCAAACAGCTGTGAATACTTTCCTTATCGCTTTGGCATTCATATTCGTAACTTTGTGCAGTTCGCGTGTTTCAATGTGATACAATGATATACCTGAATTATTGTGCTGGAGTTACCGGGAAAATAACATTAGTCCGCCCTTCGTTAACAACTTCATTGACAGCCTTAACTAGTTTTCCAATCTGAATCTGGTTAAGGTAATATACGTTCGGCCGCCTAAAGATATTGATAAATCTTTTTCTTCATTATCATTATGGTATTTACTTAATTCAGCTCGCCGGTTCTTGATGTATTAAAATGAATTTTCTGCATCTGACATTTTGTCTTGAATATCATTGAAATGTAATTGTTATCCATTCAACTTACCTTTTCTTTCGTGGTTTCCAAGAGCGTATTTTTGTTTGGCGAAACAAACCGAAACGTTTTCCACTTTAAAAGAAGCAGATGTTTAGATACAAATATCTCGGGCGGCGCCCTCCTAAAACACTTGAGTTTTCTCCGCACTGTAAACATCGTAACAAGTATTGCCGACACTTGTCGTTTTTTCTTTCGTAATTTGTCGGAAGGTAAAGGAAAGGGGTTTTTGTTGTTGCGAGCGTGCATTAACCGGCGATATTTTCAAATAAGTCAGAGATTTTACAGAGCTTTTCTTAATTTTTCCACCAAAATTCTAATTGTACATGTAACAAACATGTAAGTGAGGTGACATTGGGCAATAAATAAAGATGCCGTGTTGTTGCTTGAGATTTGTGCTTTGATCGCGTGTTTCGTGTTCAGATAAATTACCATTCTCAAGAACCAGTAATTTTCACACGTTAAGGTGCTAATGTTCCGAAAAAGGGAATGTACATCCAATGGCTTTTTTTTTTAAGGGATCTTTCTGGTTTTTATGTGACTATAGCTTGGAAAGCAAACAGATGCACAATTCTGGATTTATTAACCTGGTGAAGTAAACATTCCTTTTATAATGAGTGAATACCGATCTATGTATGTCTGCCTGTTTACCCTCCTACGACCCGAAAGCCATTTAAAACAACCATGGTTTTTTTTTCGCTTTGTTTTTAAAATATTTCTCATAAATATGGCGCTTTACACCTAATAATTGCGTCAAAAAATTGTTTTTCATTATAACCAATTTACTAAGATCCGGAAAGAAAATTAATAATTTAATAACCAAAGGTTTCATTTTGCAAAGGGTGCCAAGTTGTTTTTAAAGTTGTCAGTTTTTTGCGTTCATGTTACCTAAAGATGTCACCTCAAGTTTGCCAATATTTTCGACGATTCAAAAACGAAAAACTCTTTTAAAAATTGCTTCAAATTTTCTGAATTAATCAATTGAACAAAAGTTTACCTTAAAGAGTAAAGCTGGATTCACCATCAATGGGTATTGATAGCTATTTTGACTAAAAACTGTCGCAGAAACAATGTGGTGGAAATATCAGCCACAAAATTAATCTTGAAGCTTCGCTTCGTCTGTTTTTTATTGACTTCACAAGTGAGATGTTTCTGACATGTATTGAGCTAGAGACGTCGGTACTTGTAAGAGGAACCGGCGAAAGAAACAAAGAACAAAAGAAATTTAAAAAAATCAATTTTGTTTATGACATGATCCTTGAAAAACGAACAATCGATGAAATACGACTCTATCAAAAGATCGAGGCTTTCAAGGGTCTCTAATTTAGAAATCTGGGCGCATTTCGCCCATAATGCTTCTCTCTGCCTCCGAAACCGTGATCAGAACAACACAGCAATCAAACATCGAGCTTGCGCGAGGGGATCAATTCTGGGCGGCTGCTCGCCAATTTTCAGCGCAAAATTTGAATGGAAAACATAAGAGACCACTACTGTCTTGCGAAACGAGCGAAAGAAAGTTGAAACGTTCCTAGAATAAATGAAAGGAAACAAAAGTAGGGACACGGAAAAACAACGGAAACTTATTGAACACAAAACCTATTCAATTGCGGGTGTTCTGTTTTGCTATTCTGTTTTGAGCTTTCACGAAAACGTTACACGGTTTTAAAACACCGTAACTTACTGGTTTATGTGGTGGTTTTTAACTCGTCTGAGCTAACTTTGTTCCGACAGCCTAAAGGCACCTAATCTTTACAACATTTTCGCATGCGCAAACCTTTGACCGCTGTGTTGATTAGAACCCATACATGTATGTACCTTCAACCACCGTGTAAAAATCGCGGTCCCAGTTTTCCTTCAGAACATTTTTTGTATGGTTGATTCTATTCTCCTGGCCGAGTCATTCTGTTGTGTTCTTGGAAAGGAAGATTTTGTTATCTACCTTGATATATTTTTCAATTCGGGAGGATTAGCAATACTCCTGTTCATAATTTCATTTTTTTTTAACATTGTGAGACGATGAGAATCGAACCAGCACTGAACAGGAATATTCTCAGATAGTTATATTTTTGCCTGCAAAAATTGTTATTTAAATTCCTCGCATAAACTGAATAACTTTCGGGTGCACATAATGTTTATTTCAGTATTCTTTTTACAGTTTGTGAAATAAATTATTTATCAGTTACTGATCTAGAGTCCTTGCTTTCTACAACACTACAATTACGGTAAAGGTGAGTATTCATGATCCTGGTTTTATCGCCGTCTTCTACAAAATTCGCTCAGAAGGCAAATTGAAGCTCCTGTGACTTTCTACTGTTCGTTAGACTGGTCCATCGGGTGAAAAGCTGTATCTTTTTTTCTCAAGGATTGGCAGGCGGACTGCGCTGTCGCGCAAACTCGGCGGAGGTGATAGGTAGCCTGTGAAAAATGAAATAATTGAACTTGAACTGCAGCGAATACTTAGTAAATGTTTTGAAGCTTCTGAGCGGAAGTTATCATCTACACTGAAAAGTTGATAATAATGGTAAATTTTTTTGAATTAGAATGGTTCAATAAACGTTTTAACCAAGGAGTTGTAGTTGGTTGAGTGGTCCGCTCGTCCAGGAGGAACTGTCGACATAAAAGTGACTGACGTTTCGACAGCCTGATTAAAAGTAATGATTGGAGTCAAGTGAAGTGCTGTTAATTTCTCAGTCGAGCATTGTAAGTTTAATATCGTGAAAACTGATAGGTTAGTTTCTTACGTAATGTCATTGGCTGTAGGACTCGAGTACCTTAAATCAGTTGTACCCGGTCAGTATTTATCCGTCGGTTCGTTCAACTTCAAACAGAAGAAAGACAAATACAAATGGTAAAAGTACTGTTTCTCATAATTGCGATAAAATGTGTTTAAGATGTTATCGAATTCGCCTGCGGTGCTGATAGACATAAGTGCATCTAAATTTAATGTCAACTTCATGTAGATATATCGAGAAATATTTCAAAATACGACATCTATCATGAAGTCTATAACATGCTCAATTTATGATTAAGGGGTCGGGAAAGGGACATTTCCCGCTAAAGGAATGAGGAGATGTTTTAACCGCATGCACAAAATTAGACAAAGAGATGTTTATTCTCATGGGAAATTACTTTAAAGTACATCTGTGGACTGCTCCGACACTGAATATCTGCATCAAATTCAACTCAAAACCGGCTATTCTATGGATTGTAATATTTTGATAACCTGTACTCAAAAGTTGCAATTGAGCATCGGAATCGCTAGAGATCAGCGAAATAATTCAATTTCATTGTAGCCGAAAAAAAAAATAGATATTTTCCACACAGTAATTAAATTCAAAATAAATCTAAAAATATAATAATGATTGAAAAAGAAAGTTTTTCGGACTTTTTAATAGGAAAAGTGCGAATCTCACTTTTGCTGAGCGTAGTGTCAAAACCACGAACAATTAAAAGTTTGCACATCGATACATCTTCAGCTTGATGAGGCTAAGTGACCTAGTGGATAAAGAAGGTTGGCATGCTGAAGAGAAATACTGGGAACATTTTACCTGGATGTTATTGGCACCTCGTTTACCCCGGATATTGCCCGCTCCGGCTGTGAATGCGAGCGTTCGAGGATACATAGATACGGCAATTAGAACCAGCAAGAAAAAAACGCGCACTTTTGAGATCATTTTCGACTGAAAAGCTGGTGCAGTGAGAACAGAGTTTTCGTATCTTAATCCAATTCTACTTTGAGGTTCTCTCTTAGTCATACCGCTTTTAAATATTTGGTGATTAGTATTTTTCCGGCCGATAGTAACGCGCGGGCGAAAGTAAGTGACGCTAAATGATAACACATTAAAACCGGTAATTAAGCATAACCGACATTTGACGAGATTATTATTGTCCCCAGTCTCGATAAAATGATCCTGTTTTCTTCTTTAAGCAGCAGAAAGAAAAGGAAAAAGGAAGTGAATTCAACTAACAAAATATGCAACCCATCTGTAAATTATCCCACGTAAAGTAGATATGCGCTCTTAATTCACTTATTTCCAGAGCCGTTTGTATAATTTTGTTTAATTGAATAAGGAATCGTGACAATATCAGCAGTAATTTAATTGTAAACGTTTGTAAATACACCAAATAGAATTATCTGTTTTTAGACAGGGAGCATTCTTTCTAGTGTGTGAATTTTATGGGGAAGTATTTCAGCTAACGTCTTAGAAAACTTTTCAAAACAGATTTCCAATATGTGAAAAGTACGTATGACTTCCTTAATAAATCTCTGCCACATTTTCTTTGAGGAGAAATTCTTCAGATGTAACTCTAAATTTTCAATACGTCTAAATATTAATTAAGTCAACGTGTTTTCGTCAATTACTGTTAACATATTATAATATTGCTTACGTTTTCTGCCATCAAGGTTGTGATAAATGTCCCCCACGCATCGCTTAGACATCACTAGTGACAATATTTAATTCAAAACTTTTCAGTTTTCAATTTATCACAAATTGAGATATGAATTTGATCAATTTAGATACAAAACGAACATTTTATTTGAATAAACAAATCTTAAAAAACATCTGTTACACCAGAAAAATGAGCTAATTTTTTTGCGAATTAACACTTTTCTTTTAAAGACGATGCCGAAGGTTTTTCCGGGCGTATTTTTCAGCTTTCAAATATTTTTTATCGCTGAAATATCATGATTTGTCTACAAGAACTTCGTTCAAGACAAATGCAGAGACTTTAATGACTTTTGACGCCTGAGGCTGATGTTGTTCGAATCGAAAAACTGACGAACTAATTATTGGTTACAGGAAACTGAAAACATTTTGGTGCTGAGTTATCGAAATATAGGTCGTACCCTTCTCTCAAAGATTTAGCCCGATAGTGGTAAAATTCTCGCAAACACACGATATTAAAAATCAAAAATTTTACAAAGAATGTAAGGGCTCACTAGCGCTTTTGCCAGCCACGAAATTGGCCGTTTGCAATGGTGAATATCTCAATGAGTTTTACTCCCATGAAGCACCGAATTTCACACGATGCTACAACCTCTGAGACGCTCTTTCAATTTTTGAAATTATTTCGCCCTTAAATCGACCTCTTTTCCATTTCCAAAAATGCAAATAACGGTAGCGGCCAAGATTTTCTTAAAGAAAGTAAAAAAACGGACAGGGTTAATTACGATTTTGTTTTCTTGCTATTTTTCGATGGAACCCTTCCCATACAAATACACTTCCTAATATAGTTCTGGTTAAGAAATCTTGGTAACGCAAGCTCGTGCCCAGTTTCCTCTTGGAGAGTAAGCAAAACTAGGCTGTCAGCAGAAGAATAAGACGGAGGCATGTAAAATTCATCAACAACTTATCAATCAGCTAATTGAGTATTGCTTTAATAGCCAAAATTTGGTTGAATGGTTAGATATCTTGTGACTTTCCGCTTTCCGTCACCGATGTTCAATACTGAGTTATTGCTTAGAGCATGATGCATTTCCTGCACACGAAGAAGGCGGCAGTTTACGTATGTATGACTTTCATTACCATATCAAGCAATCTTTTTTAACACTTCTTTGTGACAATTAAATTTTGACATCAGTGAAAGCTAGTTTCAGTAATTTATCCGTTCACTGGAAACAGAGCAAGTTAATGAATGTTACCGTGGTCTCAACGACCAGCGAGTTTTCCAGATGGTTTATCTCGTTAGGGGCAAATTGTATAATTTTCAGTCAGCCAAACTGACCGACACGTATGGAAGGAAATAGTAATCAAATTTATTTATGTAATGAAACAATACAGGGGAGATGTTTGAAACGTCAATTTGTCGTGGCTCTAATTTCTTCGTTCTTTGATAAAAGACAAAGCTAAAAAATTGAGAATTCTTTCTTTTATCTCTGAAAGCGAAGTCAGAGATGGATGGCTCGAAGCATTTCGCCCGCTTTATGACTATGGAATTTTAGCTTTATGTCTCAATTGAAAAGAGCACATGGCGATGTGATTGGCTAATATTGGCAGTCTGTTGGTTAACATATATTAGCTTACTGATGTAACTTAAAAAGGATTAAACATTTAATTTTGTGGAAAAAGCACTAAGCGGAAAATTAGAATTTTTTTTAAAAATACATAAAACAATGGCAAATATGTGAAATGAAAATTATTTGTCTATCACAGATGTGACTCAGAGAAAATAAGTGACGATCATAAACATTTGCCTCATGTAGGTCTCTTGAGTACTGAAAAAAAATTGGCCTAGGATTTTTGTTAATTTGTAATGCCTTGGACAATCTAAACGGTGAAAGTTAGCTGCCTGACTGTCGGAGATATTTGTCTATTAATGATCAGGGTTAAATTGTGACTATACGTTATCAGTTATTTCGCTTAAATGTTTGATCGAGTGAGCCTGCCGTAAGTCAGATAAAAATGATAAAGTGTTATGTGTGATAAAATAATTATTTTCAAGAAGAAGAAAACGTGGTAGGTGCCAGAAAAGAAATATCTTAAGTGGTTTAATTTACCTGGAAATAATTCTCGCCTCGTTTACCAATATTCCCTGCTCCAGCAGTGAAGGCGTACGTCTGTGGGAACATGGAGACGGCAACAAGAACGAGCAAAAACACGACGGTGAGTCTTGGACACATCTTTAGATGAATTTAGCCTAAGGCAAAGAGGCGTGCTTGAATCTAACCAAATTTTCTTGTGAGTACTGCATGATAGTGCAGCACCTTTAAATGGTTTGCTAAACCACCTGTGTTGCGTCAATAACAAAACGATGCCAAATGACAACCGAACAAGGCGTTAAGTTAATAACACTGCTAACGAGATGGCTTTCTTCAAAAGAATAGAGTGGCCTTCTCTTTTATTTTCCGTAATGATGGTGATGTTGTCTTCTGTCAGCGAAAGGAAGCTGAATCAATTAGAAAATGGACAACCTGCGGGTTAATAAACCCACATCGAGGAAATAATGTACGTTATTTCATTTAATGCAAAGGGGTGAAGTTTATGAAAACAGTCTCTTGGCGATGGTATAATTGATTGGAACCTTACTGGCGATTAGGCGGTATTTTCAAAGTAAGCTTTGATAGTAGTCCCTAATGTGTTTATTTGTTACCGTCCTTTCAGACATAAATAACTCATTCAAAACACGTTCTCCCTTCAAAAGTTGCAATATGTAAAAAAATTCGTAGTCTGATTTGCAGTCTAAAAACCTTCAGTTGTGATTTACAGCTAAAAGGGTTTTTGACAAAACTTATACTTGGAAGTATAGTTTCGTTGAACAATGTCAAAAGCAGAGTTTTGCCACTAAAGCGCTGATGCTCACGTATTCCTTGGACATCCGTCAAAGAGGAAATACGTTTTTATTCAATTTGCGTCTCCTGTTTGTTGACGAGTTCTTCCAAGTTTCCTCTCCTTTCTTTATGCAATTTGCTCTATTTAAAATTAATGCTTCTCTAACCTTTTAATAAGTTAATTTCAATAAACTTGAATTTAGCTGGCTTTTTATGAACATGATTTAGGCGAGGTGCAAATCAAAGGAAATACTGTATAGAAGCCGCAAATCGAATTAAACATTATAAATCAATAAAAAGCGACAAAATGAGACTTCATACAATTGTATACCCCCGAAAACCGTGTCATCGATCAGCTTGACACAATGCTTTTCGAAATTAAAACGAAATTGAAACAAATTTTCATGTCATTCCAGAAGTATTTAGATATGTTCAATCATAAGGCGAAAGACTGCGATTCAACCTTAAATACAAAACTCTCTTTATCAAATCTTAAATGATCCAAAAACAAAAAGAAACTCATCTTGACTAGAATTCATATCTCAACACCTACAAGACATTATATTTAATCAAACTTACTGCATTAAATAGCTACATTTACCGACAAATACCACTCCGACAAAAACCAATCCGCTGACTGCATGTTTTGCGCAGTATTTTTCTGGCTCAAGCGAAAACTGTGTTACTAATTTTGGTATTTATGGAGGTTTTAATTATTTGAGGGGTCCATTAAGACAACAGCAATTGCGCAAAATTTTCAAGCAATTAATTTTACTATTATAAACTATAATTCAAGTATAAACACGAAATGGTTCTTTTGTATTATAATGGGCTTGCTTTCTTCTGAATTTCCGCCAGCTTGCGCAGCTGAGTTCGCTGTGAGTTAGTGTTTGATCGTGGAAAAATCCTTGAACAGAAGACTTCGGAGGAACATGAAGTTTGTTTGTAATTTAAAAATGTGACTTAACAAAAAGTATGTTCTAGTAATTGTGACATTCTTTTTAGGTATTTTCAAACAACTGATGATCGCGAAAATGGATCATAGAAGAAAACTCAAGTTGCATGAATAAATCTGTCCATAAAATTCTGCTAAAGGCTTGCTCTTGAAAAATGTCGAAAGAAGAAAAAAATCCTGGTTTTCCTGTTAGTTAAACAAATGAAAGTGATCTTTAGCTCATATCGTAGATAAATGAACCAAACTATTTGAAATGCACCAAGTTAATGCTTTGGAGTGTTTTAAAACTCAGCTGGTGAAACTGAGTTTCTAAGACTTCACAGGCTTGTTACCCAGATACATACATGCCTGTTCGTTGGGGACTGGAGGTTTCATTTCTAAATCTGGAATCAGTTAACTGCAATAAATCCAAGACATTTCTCTGTCACCTGCCAGTAACGTTCTTTGCCACTTTGGTTTGCGTCTGTGACACAAACCCAACGGGTTGTATTTAAGTTTGAGGGTAAAT